GGCATCAGACTACACACAACCGCAGTGCCACCGCGTGCCTGGGTGAGGACAGAGCGACGGCGCCGGGAGCCATGCTCCTGTGCGGGCCACCCTTCCCACCAGCATGTCAGGCTGCCTCTGGGAAGAATGCGTCCACCCAACGCACTACGATCCACCGCCCGTGCCACACCAGTTCTGGGGCGGGGCCCGCGCGGGGCACAGGGGCACGCGCCATAACATGCTCTTCCCCAAGCAGCAGAACAAAGGAGCCATCCCAACCAAGGCAGCATCTTAGCTCCGAGGTCCTTCGGCGTGGCTCCCTACCACTCGCACACAAAGGCCTGTGTCCGGTGTCTTCCTACCCACATGTGGAACACTTTCAGCCATCAGGATGTTGTCCCCAGCGGTCAGCGAGAGAGGGGAGTGGGGTGGGGAAAGGGGCACGATGGCAAGACACCCCTCCCTCACACGCCTCAATCCCATACGGAATACACTGCCGTTTCCTAGACTCTGAAACTGACCCTTTACTACGCAGGGGTCCACGCAGCAGAGAAATGTTGTCAACCAAGATGTAGCTCAAGCCCTGCCACACCACACCTCGTGATTACTTGGCATAAAGGAGCACTTGCTGTCCCAGACGAACAAGGGCGGCCAGAGAGGGACAGCCCTCGCCTCGCCGGTGCGCCCACAGCGGTGCCACCCAAAGGGCCTCTAGTCCTGGACGCTTGCCCTCGGGAGAGTCCTCCGTTTTCTAAATGCTCAGACACGAGGGCAAAGACCAATCGTCCCCTGGGGGCTCCCCCGTTAATGATTCATCCACCCAGGGAGTCTGAGATTGCCTGACCACAAAGACAAGAAAAAAGTATGTGCCACCCAAGGGCAAACAGCGAGCTCATGGGCCTCTTGGTGCCCACGTCCACCTCTCCCCCAGCGAGTGAGACTCTGAAGTCCCAGCTAGTCCTGGTCTCCGCACATCAGGGATCACTATGACCAACGTTTCTGATACGATTAAGAACTGTTCTAACTTTCCCTCCCTTGACCCTCTCGAGGTCAAGCTGTAGGAACTCATTTAGCCAAAAGGAAAAGCATCTGGCCTATCACCATCCCAACTGTTAATCAGACTTACAACCAAGGTCTACATCTAGTTAACGCGACCCACTACAGCTCAAGGAACCGCGGCTTCCTCACAGCTGACCAAGCAACAACAGAAAGGTCCCCATGTGACCAGACTGGGAAATGTATCTAAAATCAAAGCGGAGGGCGCCTGGGGAGCTCAGTGGGTTAAGCCTCTGCCTTCGGCTCAGGTCATGATCCCAGGGTCCTGGGTCGGCCCGGCGTTGGGCGCTCTGCTAGGCAGGGAGCCTGCTTCCTCCCCTCTCTCTGCCTACTTGGGATCTCTGTCAAATAAATACATAAAATCTTTAAATAAATAAAAAAAAATCAAATCAAATCAAAGCAGAAGCACTGCACGGCCCATACAGACACAGGAGATGGGGTGAAGAAAAATGAAGGTCTGTGTTTCCTGAAGGCCTTGCATCATTTACCCGCCCGACACACACGTTACTGACCAGAGACACACACGAGCTGGTTATCAGAACCTCATTTTTTTTTTTTTTTTTTTAAATGTAAGCCACTGGGTCGTGTAGGTCAACCCCTCCTGACCACACAGCATCAAGTGTTCAATTTACTAAGCAAATTCTTGCCTGAAAACCACCAGAGAGGGTAGCCGGTACCTCCAGGCCATACCGAACACTGAAGGCTGCTTTTCGCCTCCACCGAGCAGCAGCACGGCCGGTTCCAAACGGCTGCTGGGTTCTCCGAAAGTACAAATACTTTCAGTAATTATGCATCGCTTCAAAGAAAAAGGAGACCAGCAGTCCCTGAAGGGGGTACGACAGCTAGGAGCCAAGTAATCAAGGAGGAATTTTAAACCTTTAGGAGACGCTTAACAGAAGTGACAATGACTGGAAAGATGCCGTCTTATCTCCCCTGGAGCTTTGCCGTTCTGTAAGGAACAGACTTCCAGGGCAGCCGGGTGGCTCAGTCCAGCATCTGTCTGCGACCGAGCCCCGTGTTGGGCTCCCTGCTCCGTGGAGAGCCTACTTCTCCCTGTCCCTCACCCTGCCTGTGTGCTCTCTTTCAAATACGTGGACAGAATTTTTTTTAAGGGGGGTGGAGAGACGTCAGCAGACTAGTCACACAGATTCTTAGAGTGACTTCAATAAACCTAAAGCTAACGGCACAGACTTCTACAATCTGCCCCTCAAAGAATGTCAAAAAGGGGAAAAGAGACAAATGCCCATTCACGCGGCCACTAACACCGTCATCGTCCTCATCATAGTTACCGAGTTTCCAAACTTGCCTCTGGATCCTCTGAGCGGCGAAGGACAGCGAGAGGAAGCAAAATCCATCGGAGCTCGATCAGACCGACTGAGGGACGGCCACAGGGGCACCGGGGAAAGAGCAGCCCGACGCCCATCAAGACAGCGCCGTCCCGTCTTCAGTGACTGTAAGGACCTCCGCCCCCAGACAGCTACGCAGCACAAAGACAGGACACAGCGTGACACACGATGCACTCAGGGCACAGGCACGTCAGGGCAGGCGCCCCACAGCCTCTTCCCAAAGGCCCCCGCGGCTACAGAAACACGGAAGAGCGTGGGCACTGACCAGAGGACGGAGCCCGCACCACAAGCTTGGCGGGCACGTCTTCTGGCACGTCCTCGCGTGAGCACCGCTGCGGCGTGCGCAGGGCCGCGAGGCGTCTTCCCGGGCTCGAAGAGACGACTTCCCGTCCTCTGCGACACGGAAGTTCCCCACCCCGCTCCCAGACTCATAAAACGAACACTGCTCTCCGCGCCCCCGGTGCAGACAAAGGCCGCGCTCTCCACTGCCGCTTTAGGACACTCAACGGGGATGTGCCCAGCTCGGCAGGAAGGCCCTGGAGTCCGAGACCACCTGCCTGTGCCACGCATCGTGGGGAAGAGCTGACCGCAGGAGGCGCACCCAACAGTCTCGGCCACCCCCGAAGGTCCGCAGACAAGAAGCCACGGCTCCAGCGCGACGCCCCCCGGGAAGCTCTAACAGATTAGCCAGGACGCCTCGTCAGGAGCCCGATGTCCCTATAAGACCATCACCCCACCCACCTCTAACGACAACGGTCAATGCCACGTCCGTTCGGTTCCAGGTACCAACTGCAGTTTCTCGTACCAGAGAAACCATCTACCCTAACAGCCTACACCGAAATGGGCTTTCTGGTGTCACAATTCCGGTCTGTGTTACAAGCGTTCTCTCGGTGTGACACATCTCCGTGCCTCTCTTCTCCAGACGTTCCAGCACCTTCCATGGCTTCCCTCAGTTCAGCTGTCTTTAAGAACTGACACTAAGGGGCGCCTGGGTGCCTCAGTCAATTAAGCAGCTGCCGTCAGCTCAGGTCATGGTCCCAGGGTCCTGGGATCGTGTCCTGCGCCGGGCTTCCTGTTTAGTGGGGACCCTGCTTCCCTCTCCCTCTGCCTGCTGCTCCCCCTCTGCTGGTACTCATCTCTCTCAAACAAAAATGAAAAAAAAAAATTTACTCTACATTTTGCACTGATTTTTATATTTTCTGTGGGATTTTCTACAATACTGTTTTCAACAAAAGCAGGTTTGATTCTGTAAAGACTCTAGGGTCCTTGGGCAATTTCCACATGCCTTCCAATCGGGCCGGCACAGACAGAAACTTGTGTGTCATGAAGGAACTACCCCGTGGTCCTCCTGTCTTTCCGGCAGGCCCCTAGGGCTTACCCAAAACGAAGCTGAGTGGGGGTCGTTCAGACACAAGCACGTCCAGTGTTACACCCCTGTGGCTGGAATTCCAGTTGTCGGTGCTGACTGGGGCAGATTTGACACGTCCGAGAACAAGACCTTTAGTTTTGTTCACATCCACATCTCTGTCAACCCATGACGTCACGTCTTTACATGGGTCGGTATGAAACGTACGCTAGAAAACTAAAACCTACTTGGAAAGAATGAAAAAGCTGCATAGCTGTTTCCTCCTTCCCCATAAAAATGTTACCACAGGAGAAGCTTCAATGAACTGCTCGTCCTTAAAGGAGACACAGAGGAAAACCTCCACCCCCCCTCCGAAAACACGGAGAAGCCGAGCGCAGGTCACTCGCATCCGTGTCCGCCGCGAGGAACAGAACCGCACAGGGGTGAAGGGACACCGGAGGCCCAGGCACAAAAATCATACACGGACACAAGAAGGCTACAGGCCCCACTCAGGAAAGAATGCACCAAACACATTTGCATTTATTTTTTTTTTTTAAAGCAAATGACAAAGACCCAGTTTACCAGCTTTACTTTAAACCTAAGCTTAACATTACATATTTAAACAATTGTCAAATCTTACTAAGTTGCCAGCATTCATGCACAACTAGAAAAACATCCTCAATTTATTATTAAACGAGAAATGTATCACCATTAATGCATTAATATCTCTCACTACTAAATACTGAGAAGAACTGAAATTATTTTTGTGGAAGATTCATCCTGGCAATGTTAACTTCACAGCAGGCTGACTCTAGCGGCTCATGTTTCAAACACAATGGGAAGCAGGTCCGTGCTGGTGTTAGTGTACGGAAGAGTCACGGCCGCCTTGGATTACGTTTAATAAAAAAGCAAAGTGCATACAGAGATTTACAACAATTTTAAAGACAAGAAAACAAAACAAAAACAAAACGAAACAGAACCAAAAACAAAACGAAACAAAAAAACAAACAAAAAAAAACACCAAAAACAGAAACCCCCAAACAATGGTCCTATTATGTGGTCCCAACAAGAAACTCAAAGGTCTAGGACAAACAGGGCTCCGGCGAGCTGTGTATAAATACTTCAGACTAGGTACATTATACTGAAAGTGGAGTTCGTTTGAAATCTTCCCAAAAAAGCGCTCGTGCCGGTCCTCGGCGCGCCCGTTACCGCTCGCGCTCCGGCCGCGCGTGAGCCTGGTTACTTGTTATCCAAGCGCAGCAGCTGCTCCTTACCATTTATCGTTAAGGACTTTAACTGGCCGTTCTCTTCAACTTCTACTCTCTCTTCACCGTTCTCCACAATTCTGAAAGAGAAAATGCACCGCAGACCTTTTTTAGAGTCCACACACTGAGCGTTACCTATTTTAAAACGGCAGCACTGCCACCGGCACACAGGAAACCACTCCTGCTGAAGGCTAAGAACCCAGGGCAGAGGAACCTAATGACGACGGTTCTTCCCTAAAGTGCATTCCTCCCGACAGACCGACCTGCGTCCCCAGCGCAGCCCGGCTGCCCACGGCCCGGGTGCCCACGCGCTCTGCAAGTGCGGACGGCCCGCGGCTTTCGCCCTCGGGCCATGCTCTCCAGCTCCACGGTCACTACGCTGTCACACGCTCTGAACGTGGCTCCACGCAAAGACCACCTCCACTGGAGAAACACTGAGCAGCATTTCAGAGGGAAAGCTCTGACTCAGACACTGGAGGACCCCCCCGGTGTCAGATTCAACCCGCACGGCACACTCCGAGCACCCGCAGAAGACACGTGGCGTCCCTGGAGAGCACGCCTACTCACTTTAGAAGCACATGTAGGCTCCGTACCTCTTTGTAGTGATTTTTCTGCCGTTGACCATTTTAGTAGAAGTCGATATAGACTTGAAGTTGCCCATCCCACTACCACCGAATGCCGCGGAGGAGAATGAAGTGAGGCCCCCGTGACCTGGTGATGCGAAGGAAGTAAATCCTGCAGGAAAATGGGAAGATTAGGGACCAGTCAGGAAAACCAGGGAAGAACGCATCAAACCAAGGAGAGCGGTGCCTGCACAGAGCGGCCCAGAACCACGAGGACAAGAGGGCAGCACGTGCTCCTCTGGAGGCCAGGGAGCCCGAGAGGCGCCCCCCTTCTCCCACGCGGTGTCCTCTCCCCTCTCCCCGCCAGCACTCTGCTGGACGCTCTGGCGGCTCACCCTGGCGACAGCTGGCCGGCCACCACCATGTGCCACGCTGGAGCAGGAGGCCAGGGGCCCGGGGAGGCCGCAGGAGCAGAGCGGCTCTGCCAGCGCAGGACGCCACAGCCAACCTGCTTACCTTCTCCTCGCAGTGTGACCGCGAAGGGGTGAACCTCTGAGTTATTAAAGAGCGCAAACAATTTTAGCTGCGAACACTTACTGGAAACGTACGGACCCACATAATTCACTTGTGCACAACGTTCTCAATCACAGCGATCACACCAGAGGCCAGAAACCCCCGAGCTCCTCAAGTCACACAAGAGCAAACCGATCTCTGAAACGGACCGGCGTGTTTCCAGAGCTTATTACTGCTTGTCCGTCTTGAAGACATTCACGCCAGGGCAAATCCCCAGCCGCCTGTACAGGAGACTCTGCAGGGCTGCTAGAAGGTCTGAATCCACACGTGGCAGAAACACACACTTCTTCAGTGAAGCACCGTTTGGTTGATGTATTCAACTGGATTTCTCAGACTCTCCCTCGAGTCTCAGCAAATTCACCCGCAGCGCACTGCGTGGTCCCCCAGGCAAGGGTGTGCGGCAGCCCGTGCGTCCACGTGCCATCGAACCCGCGTTCGCCTGCGCGGTGCCGGCAGCATGCGGGACGGGAAGGCGGCCGAGCGGCAGGCCGTAGGGCAGCGCTCTGAACAAGCACGGCCAACGCCTACCACGCAGCAACTCAAGCAGCAGTCCCAGCATCCGGAGGTGCAAGAGCTCCTCTGTGAAGGGGAGCTATACGAACTTCCAAGAAAAGATCCTAATTTCTCAGGTAAAATATGTAACTACATCAGGCCCCATGCACAGTACTCTGGTTGATGAGCTGCCCTTTTTTTACAAAAGATTTTATTATTTTAGAGGATCTCTACACACAGCATGGGGCTCAAACTCAAGAGTCACAGGCGTGCCACCAAGCTGCCGGCCGCTGTAGGGCAAGGCCGCAGTCACCCCCTCGGGCCGCGCTCTGCGTGGCCAAGGACGCTTGCACAGGGTCAGAGCCCCCTTCTCGTCTCCTCAGCCTGGACCCTCCCAGAAGACTCTTGTTCTTACAGCGACCGAGGAGGTCAGACAAAAAAGATTTCAGGGAGATTGTCTATACGTAGGATTTTTCACAATTATTTACCCCAAATCAAGTGACTTCTTTTAACCAGGAATTTCATGAAATGTTGACCTTTGGTAGTAAGATGAGAAGTGGATTTTCAGGTCAAACACTCTCGGGAAGCTGAGAGAGGAAAGTGCAGGTTACTAAGTACAGGCTTGGCACACAGGAAACGACCGCCAACGCACACGGCTATGCGGACCAGAAGGACAGACGCTCCTTACAAAACTGAACAGCACGCACGTCGGCCACAGACCGGACGTCAGATCGAAGGGTTTCATACCTGAATCAAAAGCCGGAAACCCTCCTCCGAAAGACGGAAATCCACTGAAGGCGGAGAAAAACGACCCTGTGCTCCGGTTCCTGCTTCCACGGGGGCCTCTTCGACTGCCAAAAAATTCCTCGAATGGGTCTTCTAGAAACAAAGAGAGGTAGTTCAGCTCATTTTTGCATGGCAGAGCTGCAGCAGAGGGAAACGGGTCACCGCCTCGTAGCACGTTCCTCCATCAGGAAGAGACTCGTCAGGACGCTGGACCAATGCTGGTCCAGAGAACAACCAAGTTCACCGATAACCAGCAGCTTTACTTGCTCGTTTAATTCAACCACAGCTGGAGCGTACTAAGGAAAAACTAACCAGACTGCTGGTATAATCACTGTGTGACCAACATGAAAACCGGGATCACTCGTGCACTCCAAACTCACACAAGGAGCTGGGTTTTTCTTCTTTTTCTCGCATCAAGATTTTACTTAAATGCAAGTTAGCACATACCCATGTGTACTGTTAAGTTTCAGAGAGAGAATCCATCACCCGCACACGACGCCCAGCACTCAATCCACCACTGCCCTCCTTAACGCCCATCTCCCAGTCAGCACATCCCCCACCCCACCCCAGCCCCCCAGAACTTGTTTGTGACCCAGAGTTAAGCGTTTCTTAGGGGAGTTTTTTTTTTCCTTTTAAGATTTTACTTATTTGAGAGTGTGCCTGCGTGCATTTGCGGTGCAAGGGGCAGAGGGAGGGAAAGCGGCACACTCGCTGCTGAGCAAGGAGCCCGGCGTCACGACGTAAGCCCATGGCCGTCACTTAACTGACCCAGCTGCCCAGGGGCTCTCAGGAGCTGTTTCAGTGTGGCCCGTGAGTCCGACTCGGCACTGTCCCTGCTGCCACCGCTGCAAAGACTAAGGGGCTTCGCACTCAGGTAGGTAACTGTTTTCCATGGGACCTGGGTTACCTTCCCCAACGTAATTAACAAAAATGGATTATTTTAATATTAATTTACATGACAGAGAGAATACAGCAAGTGAGGCAAAATTTAGTAGCTGCTGATTCTGGGCCATGGGGTTTAAGAATTCCATCTACTTTTCTGTAAACTTGACATCTCAAAAAAAATTTTATAAAGGATTAGTCAAAGTCAAATCTGAATAAATGTTAATTGGCAAACATGAACGATGTGCTCTGCTTTAACAGAAAGTTACTAATACAGACAGGCACAGTATTCCTATTAGACACACCGAATGCTCCTGAAAATAAAAATAAGATTAGCCCTGATATTTTGTTGGTTATCCATCAATGGGCACCTACTAAAAACCTAAGAATTATACAGACTTTTTAAAAGTGCACTGTGGTTCTGTGAATTAATCAGTGTTATTTTTTTTTTCAGGGAAATTGAGGGGCTCTGCATGAAATCAAACAAGGAATCCTGAAGAACACTAAGAAAAAAACGCATGCCAGAGAACCAGAAACACGCTCCACGCCCGCACAGAAATTACAGGACCAGCATCTGTTCTCTGGACGACCCTCTGGACGAGTGGGCCTGAGTGACCACACAGGGAGCACCAGCCCCACGCAGAAATGGAGTTCACCATGCAACTCAAGTGCACGGACATACGTGACCTTCACGGTGAACTCGGCCCTGACTCGCAGACACGCACGGAGCGCCGCAGCAAGAAGAGACGGCTAGGCAAGGCTGAGGCGCGGCTTCAAGAAGCTCAAAATAGGGCCAAGGAAAGAGCACGGGCAGTCTTGGCCTCTCGGAGCGGTTCTCAGCAAAAATCGGCTGGTCTGCTTTATCTAATGCCACGAGCAGGAAGGTGGCCCTGAAGGACACGCTCAGAGGGGCTGGTTACTGGGGCCCTCCTCATAGATCAGAAGGGAAGGTGCCGGAGGAGGAAGGCCTCTGTGCAATCCCAGGGTGGAGGCGTGGCTCATCGGCCCCCGAAGAACCCATGTGAGAGTCACAGTGGGCACCGGCTGAGAACCGCTAACCGACTGCCGGTGCTGCGGCTCTACCCCCGCACTGCACAGCAAATGCTGTCCTCCGCAAAATCATTTTCCGGAAGATCGCTGGTAACGTACTCTTCCTAACGGGGCTGGGCTTACAGCCCACTGTAACACAAGTATGGACGAAGTCCATCACGAACATGACAAAAACCTAGTTAACACTTTGTGAATTCCCCAGAGACTCACCCTGTTCAATTAAAACCACAACCAAATGCAGTTCCCAATTCTGCCAGAGCCACCCAACCTCCACCCCAACGTGAAGCAACATAACGTCACGAATGCAATTTAAACACACTGTGCAATTTCTGACTCTCCTCTAAGAAACAGACATCAGGAAGAACTTACGCAGCTTTACACTTTCACGACCCACACAGGAGTCCCTAACCCCCGCTGCTCTGCACCTGAGACTGCATTTCCACGGAATCCTGCTGGGTTTGTTCTTTTAGTGTATTCAGTCCTAACTTCTTGAGGTTCACACAGCAATCAAATCCTTCGTGCTGGGGGCGCCTGGGGGGCTCAGTGGGTTAAGCCTCTTCCTTCCACTCAGGTCATGATCTCAGGGTCCTGGGATCGAGCCCCGCATCGGGCTCTGCTCGGCAAGGAGCCTGCTTCCTCCTCTCTCTCTGCCTGCCTCTCTGCCTACTTGTGATCTCTCTCTGTCTCTCAAATGAATAAATAAAATCTTTAAAAAAAGAAGAAGAAAAAGAAGTAGTAGTAGGAGTAGGAGTAGGAGTAGAAGTAAGGCCAGTGGATTTTCAGTTTATTTTCTGGTATTTTTCTAAAAAAATCTTTTATCTTTTTTTTTTTAAACCACACAGCCTAAATGTTTTTCGACAATTCAGGTAGTTGTTTTACTCATCAAACTTTACATAATTTCAAATATTAAAGTTATAAAACTTTAAGCCTGAAAATGAAAAGTCTTCGTTACAACAGTCACGGTGATACGAAGAAACACGTTCTTTTTTAATTTCATGCTTATGCTGTTAAAAGCCGCCACTGTGAGACTAGACGAGCCTTTACGAGGAGCTCATCACTGGCTGTTACTAGTCTGTGCTCTTTCAAAAAGCAGTACAAGAGTATGTCCCGTGACCTTGCAAAATCTTCAGCCCCAAACTACATACAATCCATGTTTAAAAACTCTTCAACCCAGCAGTTCTATTTCAGGGAAATCACTCATCTCAAAGATGAAAATATTTCAGTGCACTAAGAATTCAAACCATTAATTATATACTGAAAACTGAAAATAACCAGACTTTCCAAAAGTGGAAGTGGTAAACAGCTTTTTATTTTTTTTATTTTTTTTTTAAGATTTTATTTATTTATTTGACAGAGATCACAAGTAGACAGAGAGGCAGGCAGAGAGAGAGAGGGAAGCAGGCTCCCTGCTGAGCAGAGAGCCCGATGTGGGACTCGATCCCAGGACCCTGGGATCATGACCTGAGCCGAAGGCAGAGGCTTAACCCACTGAGCCACCCAGGCGCCCGTAAACAGCTTTTTAAACGTGCATATTTAAATGGCCGTTAGGTTCAGGCTTTAGACAAAGGCAGAAGAGAACACTCAGGTAACACATTACAACCACAGCATGTGAAAAATGTGAACAGTGGATTTTTCTTTGGTAGCAAGACAAATGCTGGTTATCTCCCCCTTTACCCCGTTTGTATTTCCCAAGTCTCGAGCATGCATCATCTTTAAGAAGGATAAATATTCTCCTGTTTTAGAGATAAAGCTGTAACAAGACGCCACGTGACCCACCACGCTACCACATACGGTGCTCCTCCCAGCCCAGCGGACACACTAACCGCAGCCACCGGAGACGTCCCTCGGGGCTAAGGAAAGGGGGAGCGGGCGCAGGAGGAACGGACCCTGAGCGACGCGGGGCGAGGGGCCGACCCCTCCCACAGCAGAGCCCGAGTTCATCGGGAGCTGAGCTGCGCAGCCGGCGGCGGACAAGCCTCCCCGCGGGCCCGGGGAGTCGCGTGTGCTGCGCGCTGCGGGTGCTGTACTGCGCGACCGAGCATCCGGAACGTGCTAAGATACATTCACGATGCTACCGTCGGAGAGAACCTACGGAAGCGGAGCCCGCGCGTCAAGCCTGTGTCAGTGACGCCCCCGAACTCACAATCATCGGCCGCGACCACAAGTGACTGCACGAGGCCCTCGGCGAGGGCCCTTCCCGCTCGGTCAGGGAGCCCCGAGCGCACACTGGGCCGCGCCGGCCGCGGCCGCCCCCCCACCCCGCACCACGGCACCGCAGACACACGCTGCTTCCCCGGTGCTTCAGGACCTCACGAGGGAGGAAGGTGAGCGAGTTTCCGGGCACGCGCGGGAGAGCCATCGTCCCGTTAGGGAAACGGTGAGATGAAGTCGTCACTGGAGGACAGCGGTGCGGGTCCGGAGCGGACGAGGGCGGCCTGTGGAGCGAGTTTCACGGGGAAACTCGAAGGGGCGCCGACACTTGGCCAGCTGGGCTCCTGGGTGCGTCTCTGCGTGGGACTAACGCAGCCGTCAGCGGACGGAACGGCACGCGTTGGGCTCCCCGGGACGGGTGGGCCTCGTCCGATCCACTGAAGGGCTGAAGAGAACAAAAGGCCACCCTCCCCCCAGTAGAAGAATTCTCCAGCCTGCTGGGTTCTCGGCGGGACGCTGGCTCTTCCAGCCTGGGCTCTGGGCTCCACCCCAGGGCGCAGCTCTCCGATTCGGAACCTGTCCGTCTCCACACGCGGGCGAGCCGACTCCTTACAGCGAGACTTCCTCAGAGAGGGACATACGGTCGGAAACAGAAACACATAAATCCAGACCCTGCTGCTTCTCTCTGGAGAAACATGCCACAGATTCCAGAAAATGAGACCCGTATTCTCCACCACTGATTTTACAAGGATCTTTAAAGTGGGGAGATACCGAGGCGACCCGAAACAGGCCCCGGTCTGGACCGTGAGCCAACACGGTCGCACGAGCCCCGGCTGAGGACCAAGCACACCTTCTCTACCTCAGAGATCCTGCTAGTCTCCCCGAAACAGGAAACCAAAATCCCTGAAGGGGTTCAGTCGCATCGGCAAGATCCTCACAGCAGCCGCGTCACAAGGTCACACTTAGGACCAAAAGGACATCTAACTGAGCGCTGTGGAGTGATTCAG